ACACACACACACACAGAGACACACACACACACACACATATGAGTAATGAGTGGGTGATGTGATGGTGGTGCTGTCTCACAGTGAGGTGTCTCACCCTACAGGCCACCTCTCCACTCCTCTCCATGGTGCAGTGGGCGTTGGTGTCACAAGGGTTAAAGGTCAATGCGGCGCACGACTTCCTGGGGAAGCATCCAGACGTCTGGTTACCGAGGAAACCGGGTTTACACCCCCCACACTTGTATGAACCCTGATGGAGGACGGGACAGGACGGGACGGGACAGATCTTCAGTGTTACTGCTGAGCGTCCACTAGTGGGCGACACTCTTGAACTACTGAACATGAACTCACCACAGTGTTGATGCACACAGAGTTTGACACGCAGGCGTCTGGTAGATCTAAACACTCATCTATGTCCACACAGTCCTGAGAGAGACAGACAGCGAGAGAGAGACAGAGGCAGACAGAGAGAGAGACACAGGCAGAGAGAGAGAGAGGTGCTTTAGAATTGGACTCAGGTCTCAGGTCTCATGGTCTCATGTCTCATGGAAAGACAGACATAAACATTCTAAATGTGTCTCAGTTTATTTCCTGTTGCAGAGTCTGTGATGACAGTCAACAGCAAACAGACCTGGTTGACTTCTTAAAATGTTTAAAGGGTTTTAAAGAGAAAACCTGTGTGTGTGTGTGTGTGTTTGTGTGTGTCTGTGTGTTTATATGTCTGTGTGTGTGTGTGTGTCTGACCTGTCTGTGTGTCTTGGCGTAGTCCAGTCCGGTTCCAGACATCGGGACCCCCCACAGACCAGGAGGACATGGGTGACAGGTGAACCCCCCCACAGTGTTCACACAGGAGTCAGGATGGAAACAAGGCTGCAGCTCACACTGGGGGGGTAACATCAAGACAGGGTTGTTGTAGTTATAGTGTTATATGTCGTGTGTTGTTGTTGTGTTTTGTTGTTGTGTGGGTCATGTTGTTATTGTTGTCTGTTGTGTGGTGCATGTTGTTGTGTGTTGTTGTGTGTTATTGTGTGGGTCATGTTGTGTGTTGTTGTTGTGTGGTGCATGTTGTTGTGTGTTGTTGTGTGGTGCATGTTGTGTGTTGTTGTGTGGTGCATGTTGTGTGGTGCATGTTGTTGTGTGTTGTTGTGTGGGTCATGTTGTTATTGTTGTCTGTTGTGTGGTGCATGTTGTTGTGTGTTGTTGTTGTGTGGTGCATGTTGTTGTTGTGTGGTGCATGTTGTTGTGTGTTGTTGTGTGGTGCATGTTGTTGTGTGTTGTTGTTGTGTGGTGCATGTTGTTGTGTGTTGTTGTGTGGTGCATGTTGTTGCCTGTTGTTGTTGTGTGGTGCATGTTGTAGTGTGTTGTTGTAGTTACCTCGTCCATGTCCTGACAGTGGGTCCCGTTGCCGGTGGTTCCAGGTGGACATGTTCCACAGGTGAACCCAGGATAGTGGACACTCTCCATACAGGACACGCCCTTGTAGCAGGGGTTAGGAGAGCAGCGGGAACGAGGCTCATTGAAACCTGCAGAGAGACAGACAGGCTGGCTTCAATCAGGTCCTCAGGTATATACAGCAGCTTTAATGAGCAGAGAAGAAGATGCTGACTCACCACAAACCTGACACTCCAGGATGGTGTTTCTGATCAGAGACATCTCCTTCACCTGAGGAGGAGACGAGCAATAACCTCAGCTACTGTCTGTCTCTGTCTCACCTGTCTTCTGATGTCCTGTCTGTCTGTGTGTCTCACCTGTTCTCAGATGTCCTGTCTGTCTCTGTGTCTCACCTGTTCTCTGATGTCCTGTCTCAGTTCTCCCAGGATCTGGTTGAAGATGATGAGCTGACCAATCAGAGCCTTGGTGTGATCACCTGACAGGAAAGAGGACCAATGAGGTGAGTTGAATCTGATCAGCTGATTATTGATTATGAAACATTAAGTTCAGTAAACTCACCGAGGATGGAGTTCATGTCTCCACCCACTGAAAGACCAGAGACACATGTGACCTCAGTTAGTCAGGATCAGACCACATCAGACACATTAGACCACATCAGACACATTAGACCACATTAGACACATTAGACCACATCAGACCCACATCAGACCGCATCAGACCCCATCAGACACATTAGACCACACCAGACCCACATCAGACCGCACCAGACCACATTAGACACATCAGACACATTAGACCACACCAGACCCACATCAGACCGCACCAGACCACATTAGACACATCAGACACATTAGACCACATTAGACACATTAGACCACATCGGACCGCATCAGACCACATCAGACACATTAGACCACATCAGACCCCATTAGACCACATCAGACCCCATTAGACCACATTAGACCACATCAGACCACATTAGACACATCAGACCACATTAGACACATCAGACCACATCAGACACATCAGACCACATTAGACACATCAGACCACATCAGACACATCAGACCACATTAGACACATCAGACCACATCAGACCATATTAGTCACATTAGACCACATCAGACCGCATCAGACCATATTAGTCACATTAGACCCACATCAGACCGCATCAGACCACATTAGTCACATTAGACCCACATCAGACCACATCAGATACATCAGACCACATCAGACCCACATTAGACATATTAGACCCACATCAGACCACATCAGACCTCCTCTCTGTGTTCTGGTGCTGAAGGAGTGAGGAGTTAAGGAGTTAAGGACCTGAGTTGTAGCCTGAAGCGTCTCCTTGGAAGGGACAGTCGGTCAGAGCCCCAGCTTTAGCCACAGTGCCCCCTAGAGCCAGTCTGAGGGACTCCACTGCACCCTGAAGGACAGACACACAAAACAAGAGATCAAGAGGACCCGATGGGTCACATGACGACGATCACGTGATCACAAACAGACCTGCATTCGTCCGTAGGCCTTCTGTCCGTGTCGGATCTCCACAAGCTCCGCCTCTCCGGGCAGGGCGACCAATGACGGCAGGCCCTGGCTGGAGTCGGCCAATCGGCAGTTGACGTAGAGCTCCATGTTGACGTTGTCACGACGAAGACCTCCCACTCTCAAGATGATGGAGGTGGTTCTACCTTCTGACAGGTGAGAGCTGTGGAGGTTCACTGTGTGGAGCTTCATGTCAGAGCGGAGGTACCGGACCACCACTGGGGGGGGAGGAAGACGAGGAGGAGAGAGATAGATGAGGAGGAGGAGGAGGAGAAGGAGAAGGAGAGAAGGAGGGGGGGGGGGGAGGAGGTGAGGAGAGAGATAGGAGAGGGGAAGAGGAGAGGAGGAGAGGAGGAAAAAGAGGAGGAGCTTGAACATCATTTCACAGCTGTGAATATGAAGGTGTTCAAACCTTTAACATCAGACTGAATGAAATAATAAATGTTAACATATTCAAACCCACAAAACTTTATTTAAAACTCAAACGTCTCAAAGTTTCCAGACAGAATACGAGTCAGTGGTTTCAATGTTTCCATGGAAACATCACTGACAACGCACATGGAGAGCAGATTATTATGTCTGTCTGCGCTCATCATAACTGGGAGGGGTCTTAAGGAGGAGGAAGGAAGCAAGGAAAGATAGGAGACGGGGAGACGATGAGGAAAGAAAAAGGTTGTTGTGTGTCTTTGTAAACGTTGTAAATAAAGTTGTGAGAGTCAAACCTTTATTGATCTTCCCCATGACGGACACCTCCAGGTACTTCCTGTTGTCCTGTTTACTGTAGACACCCAGCAGGACTCCGCCCACTTTGGCCGGCAGCCGAAACGTTGACACCACATAGACGTCACTGAGCGCGCTCAGACCGGACGTTAGCTTCTCCACCGCTGCCGCGCTCTGTTTGGAGTCCTGGAGACTACTCAACACGTCGATCACTGAGGAGCAAGAGGATCCACATCGGACCACGTCAGACCTCATCAGACCTCGTCAGACCCACATCAACCATAAAATAAACTTCCAGGCTTTTATTCTGAAAGTAAAGTTGATAAGTTTTGGCACTCATGAGCCAACAGAAACACCACAGAGGAAGAAAAACAAGAAGTCACTTCCTGTCCTCAGACCAGCTGCTGACATCCTCACGGTTACCATGACGACTGTCTAATCACAACAAACATCCTATAATAATGACTGACGGCACCCTGAATAAACCTGATCCATTAAACCTGATCAATACCTTCACTCTGATCACCACACGGATCGATAATCATTCATAAATGTCGAGGTGTGAAGTTACCGGAATTTTTTAGGAGTTTTAACTCTTAAAATTGTGACAAAATGAATATTTAGATGAACGGTGTGTTTAATTGATTTATTATATTATAGTTCAAGCTGATGAAGCTCTCCGGTTAGTTCGGTGTTGTTACCTTGAACCTCCGGTCCGTCCGGTGCTCCCTCCGTGAGTCCAGCACAGATGATTGACAGCAGGACCGGGACAGTCCAACAACCCATGACGTCTGAAACCAACAGCACCGGGAGAACGAACTTAAGTAGAAACTTGTGACGGAGAAAAGTAACGGACCGAGCAGAACCGGAGAGCTTTAGACCGGAGGAGGACCGAGGAGACCCGGATCCGAGAGAGAACCGAACGACCGAGTTCACGAGCGCAGCTGGAAACTGCTGGTGGCGCGCGCTCAAGTCTCCTCCAAAGAGGCTCGTGCGCACAGAGTGACTGGAGGTAATTAGCATAAAGCGCGCGAGTTAAGAGTGACTCTACTGCGACTCTACTGTGCAGTGAAAACACTGATTTAAAAGAACGATGCGTTTGAACCACAGAATCCTGGAGAATGTAGTTTTTTTTTTAGGAGTCACACGTCAAAATGTAAAGTTTTAGCGCCAACATCTGGAGGAAGAAACACACATTCCTCACTTTAGAGTTCGATTACATTCAATATAAATGTGTAAGAACATTACAACTTTTTGTAGTCATGAATATCAACATCATTTGCAATTTATAAATGATCTGAGATATAGGTCAGAGGTCAGGAGCGGAGCTGATACAGGTGAACAGAGTCTGGTCTGAGGAGGTCCTCCTCCTCCACTGTTTGTGTCCTGACTCTGGATCGTTGCCATGGAAACCGGCCTTCGAACAGCAGGTGAGGAGGAAACTCCGCCTCTAAACCTCGTGGTGCGTTCAAGGAGCTCAGCTCCACAAACTGGTTCCAGATCAGCCCGTTAGATTCCTGAGTGATGTCATGTGCAGCTGTAACGTCCTCTGGGTCCAGACCCGGGTCAGGGGGATGGGGGGGTTGAGCTGAAACATCTGGATGATGTCATCTCTCTCTTCCTCTGCTGTTGATCCAGTTCATGTTGTAAAGAAGTGAGGTTCAAGACCAGCAGGAGAAACCAGATCCCTCCCCTCCCCCCTTCTTTACCACCACCAAGGGGCCATTGAGCAACATTACTCTACTGAGACTCTACTGTGGTTACATGAGACTCTACTGTGGTTAACTGAGACTCTACTGTGGTTACATGAGACTCTACTGTGGTTAACTGAGACTCTACTGTGGTTACATGAGACTCTGAGACTCTACTGAGGCTACATAAGACTCTACTGAGACTCTACTGAGGTTAACTGCATAAGACTCTACTGAGACTCTACTGAGGTTAACTGAGACTCTACTGAGGCTACATGAGACTCTACTGTGGTTAACTGAGACTCTACTGAGGCTACATGAGACTCTACTGTGGTTAACTGAGACTCTACTGTGGTTACATGAGACTA